CAGGCACCCGCCGCAATGCCTGGCTATTTTTTGGTTGCAGCCGTCATTGTTGTTTGGGCGGGCCCAGGCTGGATTCGAACCCGCCACCGTAGGTGTATGTGGCTGGCACCTTAGCCACTTGAGCCACAGGCACTGAGCCGTGCACTTGGCTAATTAAAAAATATTTTTTAGCAGAGATAGGATCTTGCTATAGTATGATGCCCAGGATCTTGCTTTGTTGCCCAGGCTTCTATCAAACTCCCTGCCTCAAGTAATCCTCCTGCCTTGGTGTCCCCAAGTGATGGGATTACAGGTAGAAGATAGTGCCAGCCTGGATGTAGTTTTTATCTTTTTTTGGAGACAAGAGTCTCACTATGTCACCCTTAGTAGAGTGCCATGGCATCACAGCTCACAGCAACTTCAAACTTTTGGGCTTAAGCAATTCTCTTGCCTCAGCCTCCCAAGTAGCTGGGACTACAAGAACCCTCCCTAAGGCCCAGCTATGTTTTTGTTTTTGTAGTTGTCATTGTTGTTTAGTAGGCCTGGGCCAGGTTTGAACCCGCCAGCCCCACTGTATGTGGCTGGCACCCTAACCACTGAGCTAGAGGCGCCAAGCCTAGATGTACTTTTTAGATGATTAACATTCACAATCAGTTGACTTTAAGAAAAGCAGATTACCCTCCATAACACGGGTAGGCCCGATCCTATTAGTTAAAAGCCTTAATAGCAAAGATTAAGGTATCCTAGAAAAGGAACTTTGCCTCAAGATTGTAACACAGAAGTGCCTGAGCTTCCAAATTTTGGACTCAATTGCAACATCAGCTTTCACCTGAATTTCCAGTGTGCTGGAATGCCCTATCGATTTTGGACTTGCCAGGCCTCACAACTGCGTAAGCCAATTCCTTAAAATAAATCTCTCTTTCTATACATCCTATTGGTTTGTCTGGAGCACTCTGAGACGGTGTTGGAGCTGGGGTGTCAGCCTTATATACCTCTCTGTATATATACAGCCTCTGTGTCCCCAGCGAGGCCCAGCTTCAAGGGAGCCAGTCTTGCAGGGGCCACCCCCCTGTACCTCTCATCACAATCAGACCAGCAAACACCCACTGGGGCTGATTTGGAAAGGGGAAGGCGGGGCTGGCCTGAGCACGGATGCCCTTTAAGAAAGCAGAGAGACCAAGAGTAAGTGATATGTTTATTGCAGAATGCCTTTTTCTGGGGTCCACGCTACTAACCGTGAGGCTGTACTAGGGGGTCCCTCACGAGCCACTGGCCCCAGAGCAGACAGATACAATAACCTGGAATGCAAACTGGTTGCACATAAATAAGAGGAGGTGGGCAAAGGAAAAAAAAGAGAAACAACAAACGGACGTGCAGTTTCCTATGCTAGTGGTTGGTGGCAGCGTCCTATCCAGGCCCAGTCTCTTTTCATTCTAGTTCCACGTGGGGACTTTTCCTCTGCTCTGAAAAAAAGCTTCATCACCTTCCGATTTGACACATCAGCATGAGACTGGCTCCCAGCAGTCCCCGCCACAAAGGATCCAAGAAAAACAAGATGGTCCTTTCTTAAAAAACAAACAATGATTCCTTCTTAAAAAACAAACAAACAAACAAAACACTGCTTCCATTGTCCTTTATACTTCCCAGTTCCGACAGGTGGACAATGTGTCCCCTGACCCTGAACCAACCAAAAGAAAGAAAATGCTGAGCACAAGCCACGAGCCAGAATAAAAAATATTGCACACGGTTACAAGAGTCTTCCTGAGATCCCTCTCGCTGCAGATCCCCAAATACTGGCTTGAGAGCCAAACAATCGCTTGCCTGTCAACGGTGCGTGGTGTCATATATCCATGGCATCCCACTCTCCAAATCCAGGTGGCATTAAGCAAATATTCCACATTATTATCCTTTGCTTTCAGCCAAACTCAAAGACGAGGCAGAGTGTAACCTCGCACACAGCAAAAATGTGGCAGAGGGAGGTGGGGATAGTTTTAAACTTCTGTCTTCTTTTCAACAGGCTTTTCACCTCTGGGTAGTTATCAAAGTTCTACAGGTGAACAACAGCATCTAAAATGTGGAATCTTCTGGAACCAAGAGCTGGGAAAGTGGTTCTCCCCAACCATTTGCTTTTGAAAAGGGAATTCTGTGGTTACCCGCAGGTCCGTCACAAGCTGGGTTAAAACTTAACAGCCCTTATGTGGGACAGGCAGTGTAGCAATTACATTTGCCTTTTATCTTAAGGAATTTTCAAGTATCACAAAATCCCTGATAGAGTGTGTAAACAAGACATCTTACTGAAAGAAGGCTAGATCACTTCGGGAAGCAGCAGCACGTGAAATATCTAAAAGACCGAAAAAGGTTTAGGTTTGACAACATAGGCAAGACCGCTGCCTCTCTGGGCCTCGCAAGGCAAACGCTCAGGTGGAAACGTGCACGGGGCCCCTCCACATGGAGCCAGGCAAAGGAAAGCACCCCAGATCCATCTTCCAGGGGTCCTGAGAGTACCTCAGGCTACCCCTCCTTTACCGATGGGGAAGAACCAGACACACTTGTGGACTAGTGTTCTGTGTCCAGTTCCCCATCTCCTGGCCTCTTACCAAGTCTTTCTTGATTCACTGGGTCCCTGCTTGAGGGGACAGCCACTGAGCCATCTCTTTGTCCCCCTGCCACATGTGGAAGACGTCTTTCAGAGGAATGCTCTTGGGTGAGGTATGTCATTGAATGTTTTGCTCTGGGTCAGTTTGATTCAAAAGCAGTATGAACTCTCCATGTTCACGGGCAACGAGGCTCTTTGGGCAGAGCCTCCCAGGGCCTCACTTGGCTGAACTCTCCTCGTCAATGTCCTCTTCAAGGGTCCAGAGGTGGCCTATCTGTCAAAACAGCCCGTGCGGAACAGGTGGTTCCCAGGGAAGTAGCTGCTTCCGTAGGTGGTGGCGAGGCAGTGCCTGGGCTCAGCTGCAATGGCCATCTGCATGCTCAGGGATGCAGGGACAGGCACGGGACACACATCCAGAGGTTGGAGGGTAGGATATGGGGTGTGGAGAGATGAGCTGGTGCCCCCTGAGAGCAGGCTGCCTGAACAGTGGGTCTGCAGTGAGTCCCGATAGGCCAAGCACAGGTCCTGCACTGGGGCCTGGAACTGTGCCAGGGTGGTCACTGGCTGGCTGAGGGCAGGGTAGGGGGGCGGCTGGAATAGCACTTGGGTGGAGGTGGGGGGTGTGCCAGGCACCATGGCCAAAGCCTGGCTCTTGACTGAGACGGCATCCTTGAGGACGTTGTCATATGCTCTGAAAGGAAAAGGCCTGGGTAAGACTTGGAGGTCAAAGGCCACCAGACACCTGCATGCACCTCTACCTACCTTGCTAAGGGGGATCCAAAGAGATGCCCACGACCACGTGTGCCTGCAGCAGTCTCAACTGTTCTCTGACTAGACTCAGACACAGAAAACCTCGTCTGACCCCAGCAGACTAGATTAGCTGTCCCTGAAGCCCTGTGCTGCCCTAACTCAGCCTGAGAAACTCTGGGTTCACTTCCCCCACAGGATAACTTCTGGGCACTGCCCGGCTGCTAAGGAGGACACCATCTGCTTTTGCTCACATCGCATTCCCTGCGCCTGGCACAGCAGTGTTCCTGATGCCAGAAGGACCACAACCTCTGCCCTCCAGGCACTTCTAGGCCAGCTCCATCCCCAAATGGGTCACACCTTAGCTGGCAGATAACAAGCAAGCTGCTCCGGGGGTCTAAGTTCTCTATCTGAAAGGGGGGATCAAACACCATTTTTGCCATCTCAAAAAAAAAAGCTTCCCATAAAGCTTTCTTGGGAAGCAAAACAATTAGACACTTATATAAAAAGGAGAAAATGTGGACTACAACAGATCTGACAAGGGGGTATCCTGAGCAACAACCATCCACCAGTGAATAGGGGAAGATGACATGAGGCCAAGCCAGGGGCAGCTGAATATCCAAGGGGACCCAGCAGTGCTCAGACCAGGCTGTACTCTCTGGCTTTGGGGACCTTCTCAAAAGCACAGATCTTAGGTTCAGCACCTATATAGTTCAGTGGTTAGGGCGCCAGCCACATATATGGGGGTTGGCAGGTTCAAACCCGGCCCAGGCCTACTAAACAACAATGACAACTACGGGCTCCAGTAGTCCCAGATACTTGGGAGGCTGAGGCAAAAGAATCGCTTAAGCCCAAGAGTTTGAGGTTGCTGTGAGCTGTTATGCCAGAGTACTTTACCGAGGGTGACATAGTGAGACTCTATCTCAAAAAAAAAAAAGCACAGATCTTAAAACAAGGCCACTTGTTAAGGGAGCAGTACTGACATTTCAAAGGACTGAACCGAAAGCTACTATCAGCAGGGCTGCCCACATTTCAGAGATAAGAGGCAGCTGGGGATGGGGGGGTCCATGGGCTTCTGCTTGGCCTAAAGGGCTGCCTGGTCAGGCAGGCCGGTATCTGCGACATGCTGCCTCCTATGGGTAGAAGAGGCTCTGCACTGTCTGCCCTCTTCCCTGTGGTCACCATGGAGCTTTTTGCCTCCAATATCATTTTCCCTGTGATGGATCCATGATGACTTTAACCATCTTCTCTGATACACCGGACACTTCTGTTCCAAGATTCCCAGGGCCCCTTGCACAGAGGCTGCGCCTCTTATCTGAAGTCACTCTGGGCTTAGATGGCTAAGAAGTCAAATCTGGGGCCATGTCTGAGAAAAGTAGCTTATAACTAGAGTCCCTCAGTGTGATTATCCATGAGATTACACTGGGACTCAGATCGAAGAGTGCAGACATTTAAAGGAGATATACACAGTCCTCTCCACTCTCACTGCCTGAACTTGAAGATGCAAACCCAAAGCTTCCCAAAATATTCCAAAGGGCTGACTCCCTAAGCCCTACTTCCATCAGGAGTCACCCTGGCCAGCTTTACATGAGACTCTTTAGCTGGGGAAATCATCACAAGCTCCAGATTCAGGAAATCACTTGTCACCTGGGGCAGGCGGTAAGAACAACCAGAATCCAGTATTTCAGAAGCATGGCATTCAGGAGAGCAACTTACACTAGCAGGATTTCAATGCATGAGCTGAGATGTTCCATGGAGTAGTTTGAGACCCTCTGCAGGTCTCTGGTCCAGTAGGGAGAAAGCTGCAGGCAGATCCTGGAGGCCCCGACGCAGGCAGCAGCAACCACGGAAGGCTGGAACTTGTAGAATATGTGATCTAAAAGCGAATGACAAAGAGAGTCAGCCTCGAAATGCCCCTCCTTGGTGTCCCAGGCTCACCCCGACAACAGGTGAACAAATGAACTGGTTTAAAGGCTGATAATCACTGCCTCGTAAATAGGATGAAAAATGAGAAACTGTGTAGCTGTTTTTGAATCTTAAGCACCGTGGCTCTCAGTCTGGGATTTCTGGTATCAGCGGAGAGTGGGGACGTTCACAATACTGACCACAGATCCCAGAGCTGCAGGGGTTTGCTGATGTTCTACAAACAAAACTGTAAACCATTTCACCTTTCTTTGGTTTTTAATGACACACCATTTCAAAGGCTTCCATTCAGGCTACTTATTAATTATAACAATGCCTGGCCCACAGCAGCATGCAGTGAAAATCTTTCATTTATTTATTTATTTATTTACTTAATGAAAATCTTTTGAATGAATGGCTGTAAGAGTTTGGTGTTCATTACTAAAATTGGCAGTTTACTTAGGTTTACCAAGGTTCTTAATGTCCTACTATGATATCTAGTCATATGGCAAAGTAGGTACTATTTATGTGCAGAGGCAAACAGCTGAAAGTCCTGCAGTTTTCATGAATGCCACTTGGTTTTCTTTTGCCTTTTTTTTTTTTTTTTGAGACAGAGTCTCACTGTGTCACCCTTGGTAAAGTGACATGGCATCATAGCTCACAGCAACCTCAAACTCTTGGGCTCAAGCAATTCTCCTGCCTCAGCCTCCCAAGTAGCTGGGACTACAGGCACCTGCCACAATGCCTGGCTATTTTCTTGTTGCAGTTGTCATGGTTGTTTAGCCGGCCTGGGCTGGGCTCAAACTCTCCATGTTTGGTGCATGCGGCTGGCATCGTAACCACTGTGCTACAGGCGCTGAGCCTGCCACTTGGTTTTTGGTGTATTGCTATGTTAAGTTGTCCATGATTTTCAAGTATTTCAACTTCTGCCTTTTACAGCGTCAGTCAGGGTGGTAGTAGAGTTATAGGAACAGAGTCAGAGCCCCACACACACCAGGTTCAAATCCCAGCAATGACCTTGGGTAAGTTGTTTCACCTCTTAAGCGTCAATGCTCCGCATTCATAAAATGTGAATAAAAATGATTTTTGTGTGTGTCAAGTTGACCAGTGTCAAGGTCAACTGAGATGACATATACAAAGCACTAAAGTGAGCTGCCTGGCACCCAGCAAATGCTCAGGAAATGTTTGGATATCACGACCACTGATGCTGACACACACAAACACTGGCTGGTGGCAGGTCATCAGGGGTAGTATTTCACTAATGCCTAGATTTTAAGACACTGGGAAGGGTGAGTTTCAAGTAAGAGTCCTCAGATAGGGTAACTTTTATTGCTGGGGTAACTTTAATAGCTGGGCATTGTGGCGGGCACCTGTAGTCCCAGCAGGAAACACTATTCACTCCCCTCACCCTATTTGTATGATGACAGCTCTTTGGGAATGGCCTACCTGTGAATCTATACTATTTTTCTTTTTTTTTTTCCTCTTTTCTTTTAGACAGTTTTGCTCTGTTACCCTGGGTAGAGTGCTGTGACCTCCTTGCTTCAGTCTCCTGAGTAGCTGGGAGCACAGGCACCTGCCACAATGCCTGGCTAGTTTTTCTACTTTTAGTAGAGACAGGGTCTCACTCTTGTTCAGGCTGGTCTCAAACTCCTGAGTTCAGGCAATCCTGACTCAGCCTCCTAGAGTGCTGGCATTACAGGTGTGTGCCACTGAGCCTGGCAACCTATAGGATTTAAATCATTTGCAATGTTCCAGTTGACCACAAGAAAAATGACCAGGTGGTCTTTAGGGTACCAGTGGCCTTTACCTTTTTACACGTTTATCATCACCCTTCTTTGCTTTTCCCTTGCAATGTAAGAGTGGTCTGGGCACACAGGCCCTAGTCAACAAGAAGACCCCACCTCTGGACAGACAGGGCCCTCAGAGCCACCTAACCCCTGCTGCTGTGTGGGTGGGGAAGGGATGGGAAGTTGTCACCTTGCAGGGTGACCTCTAGGAAGTAGTGGGCATATTCCTTGAGGCACTCTTTGGTCTTGCGGGGGCAGGTGGTGGGCCAGGCGTGGCAGTGGTGGTCCTTCTGGCTGACGGAGGCCAAGAGGTAGTAGTCCAGGAAGTGGGCAGGTGTGGGCAGGCAGAGGTTCCAGCTGAAGGCCTCCAGCAGCAGCAGCTCCGTGCTCAGCAGCTCCTTCTTGGTGAGGGTGAAGTTCTGGCTGCTCAGGATCCTTGTACTGTTTATCTGCTCCAACTTGGGCACGTGGTCTTCCCTGTCCTCAAATTTACCTGTGTGGGGGAAAGGGGAAGCAGAGGTTACTGACAGACTCTCACCTGTACCCAGCGAGCTCAAGGCCCACCGTACAGTGCCTGGGTAGTGCTGGCAGAGAGGACAGAAGACAGAAAGGCCGGACTTCAAGGGACAAGAGCACATATTCTGCATCTATAAAACCTGGGCTTGAATCCCCAAGCCATCACTGCCAGCTGTGTGATCATGGCCAGGTATCTCAACCTCTCTGTGGCTCAGCTTCCTCTTATGTAAAATGGAAGCTATACTTCATAAAGCTTTTGTTATATTCAATGAGAAAATGCACACCCAATGCTCAGGCCAGCAGAAGGCCTATGACAACAGTCAGCAAAGGCAGTCGGGGCCTGGGGAATAAGCCATCTGCACCCCCCCTCCCAATGCCATCTGGCCCTCACCAACCCAACTTCAGATTTGACCTTGCAAGTCTGACTCTGTCCCTGTAGATGTGGGAACACCCTTCAATGGCTCTCCCCAGGCCCCAGCATTGAGTTCAAACTCTGTAAATGGGGTCTTAGTTTGGGTTACTCTGAAACAGTCTCCTTGGAGGGTGAGCCCAGGCAGGATAAGTGGGCGAGGAAAAAAACAGGAAAGGGGAAAAAGCCCCAAAGGGCACATTATCAAGTCACCATTGCAGACAACTGGAGTGTAAAGCTACTGAGGGATTCTGAGAAATGTATAAAAGACAGGCTTTGGGTTATCCCAGCACAGTCAAGGAACAGAGGCGCTTACACATCACCTTTCGTAGTCATCAGCTATGGACTGCTCCCAGGGGGCTAAGGGGGCTCCTCGTGCACTGAGGATCAAGGGCTGGGCTGGGGGCCTAACAGCCTCCACTGTCTGAGGCTCTATGGCATGGGGCCTCTCCTCTGCAGCCACAACGCTCCTCAAAACCCAGCTGTGGACCCCCATCACTGGTAGTTCTTGCCTACGAGCCTTCATTTATGCACCCCCCTGCCCGGAACACCCTTCCTTACCCCCTCTTCACTCAGCCAACCTTTCATGTCCTTTACTTTCAGGGTCCTGCCTCTTGGGAGCCTCCCTGACCCCAGTCTCCAAGTAATGTACAACTCCCATGTCAGGTGGCGAGAGCCTGGCCTAGATCTGGTCACCTGTGATCCCCAAGCCCAGCTCCATGGGGTGCAGAGCTGCTGCTAAGCAAGTGACAAAGAAACAGCAAGGTCGCCTGGCTGACCTCAAAGCACACATGGGTGCTGATGCAGAAACCTGCAACAAAACGTGCTCACACCTGCTCACAGCTGCACGTGTCCCTGACCCACTTCCCACCAGCCTCTCATGCTGCTCAGGGGAGATGAGGTACGAACCAGTGCGGGCTGCTCCACATGGGACACAACGCGTTCCTGAGGCAGGCCTCAAAGGCTGGCAGGTGAAATGAAGTCTGGGCAGGCCCAGGTCTCTGTGAGCCTGGCCACAGTCCACTCAGTGGGTAAAGACAGCAGGACATGAGCTCTGGTCTTTCATAGGGAGGAACTGAGCACATGCACACGTACAACATGGTGAAGAGCAGAGATGCCCTGTCTGCGCAGCCACAGCACCCCCATGCTCCAGCCCCTCCTGTCTTTTACACACGGGGAACTGGGTCAGGCTGTGAGGGGCAAGAAAGTCTTGCATGGCTGAAAATCCCAGAAGTGAGGCCTGGAGGACTGGGCCCTGCTGGCCTGTGAAGTCCCACACCTCTATAAGCACAAGGTGCAGCCTCATGGAACTCTGCCCCTCTCTGATCTCATCGCTGTCCTGAAGAGCTCAGTTCAGTGGTCCTCAGATACCATTGATGCACTTCTTACATTCAGATTACTTGCTTAACACCAAGTTTTTTTTCTTTTTCTTTTTTGAGACAGTGGTCTCATTCTGTCATCCTGGGTAGAGTGCTGTTACATCATAGCTCACAGCAACCTCAAACTCCTGGCTCAAGTGATCCTCTTGCCTCAGCCTACCGAGTAGCTGGGACTACAGGTGTCCACCACAAAACCTGGCTAGTTTTTCTATTTTTAGTAGAGATGGGGTCTCACTCTTGCTCAGGCTGGTCTTGAAACCCTGAGCTTAGGAAATGCAACCACCTCAGCCTCTTGGAGTGCTAGGATTATAGACATGAGCCACTGTGTTCACCTCCAAGTATTAATATTAATGGTCACCACCTGACTGTAAGACCCGTGTGGACAGGAACCAGGGCTCACCCCCTTGCTGCTGTGCCATCCGTTACCAGCACAGTGCCTAGCACATCGTAAGTGCCCAACTGAATGAATGAATGGTTCTTTCTGGAATTTTAGGCCATTTGAATTTTTCTCTGACGATCTCGGATGATCTTATATTGCCTACTTTTTTCTCTAACGATCCGATCATACATTCTTTGTGCAATTTTAAAAGGAGATAACCTTTTTTTCTTTGCAAAGTTGCCAGGTTTCCCTGGACATTATGCTTCGAGCTTTCTGCTTCTCTGAGGAGCAGAACGTGGTGAGGGGAAAGTGCACTGTACAGGGAGTGGCACTAAGACCCTCGCACAGCCCTGCTGGCGGCCTGTAGTCTACTACACAGCAGATGTGCTCAATCAGATTAGTTTCCCCCTCCTCTCCCTGCTTTTCAGACCTTTCAGAGCTCTGTCGCCAAGCCCAGGAGGATTATCCTCCAATGGAAGGCGCCAGGGATTACTGGGAATCTGACTTCACCTGCTCCCTCTGCCTCCTGGGGACCTACCACACTGAAGGCCAGAGCCAAGCAGGGCTGGGTCTGAATCCTCAGGAGTTTGCTCCGGACCTAACTGCATGAAATTCCACAGGCTGTTTATTTATGTTCTAGGAACATAAGCACGTGCAGATGAAATGGTCACGCAGAATGCAAAGTGTTTCCCAAGTGCCCACCACACAGAATGGCTGCCACACACTAGATCCTCAAAGGAACCTTCCAGGTAGGAATCTGTATAGTCTCTAGAGGCTCAGAGAAAAAGCCAAGGGGAAAACTCAGCTTCTATATCCAGAAGTGGACTTCAGAGTCCCTGCTTTTAACTGCAGACCATACCAAGCCCAGCCTAGCGACTCTCCCCCTGGACAACACATTTCACAACCAGAAATGGGTCTGAGTTTCCTGGTGTTGCACATGCCTGGCAGACATTTACTCCCCTCCTCCTCCCACAACTGTGAGTATGCTGCCCCCATCCCCTGTCCCCAGCGCTGCCCCAGCAGGCACTGCAGCCCCCACTAAGCACCGCTACTCAGCTGCTTCCTCCTTATCGGCAAACCGCACAGACAACAGATGCCTTGAAGTCTTGGGGCGGGTCCCCGGGGAGGCCGGGAACAGTAGTCCGAGTCTTTCCAAGTCAGACAATGGCCACAGACTCTCCTTGACTCCTTTGATGCACTTTATTTTGAAAAGTTTCAAATCCACAGACGAGATGAAAGAATAGAACAACGAACACACCGCCCCCTTCACTGACAGCTGACACTGAGCTACTGGCTTTGTTTGTACATTGTACGTAAATATTGCTGTTGCTGGACCGTTTCTGGTTACGCTGCAGACATAACATGCCACCCCTGAACATTTCAGCATCCATTCCTGAGGTCACTTTCCTATAAATCATAATGCTATTAGTAATTCTTTTTTTTGAAGTAGTTAATATTTTTACGTCTTTACATAATGAAATAGAAGGTTACTTCATTTGCCAGAGACCACACAGCTAGTCACTTGCAAAGCTGAAAATTCAAATTCAGTTAGTCTGGCTCCAGAGTCCATTAGCTTTAACATCTCTGCAGATAGTATTTGTACAACACTACTTAAATCATCCTTTCAAATAGTCATCTTCCTACCAAGGTTATCAGGAAAAAACTCAAATATTTCTATCCACAGCACATCATATGTCACAATGGTCAATAAATGTTTGTTAGACTCAATCATGCTGTACTTTTTTTTTTTTTTTTTT